AGAGATTCATGAGTCTTAACAGCCTCAGGGTAGAAGCTGTTAAGACTCATGAATCTCTAACCAGAATAATCACTGTGAAAAATCACATCATGTTGCTGCTGATCTGTTTCATGTTGCTGCTGATCTGTTTCATGTTGCTGCTGATCTGTTTCATGCTGCTGCTGATCTGTTTCATGTTGCTGCTGATCTGTTTCAATGCTGATGTGTTCATGCGTGTTCATCTGCTCACAGACTCATGTTCATGTTTGTGCTGATGTTCGACGGAATGTTTTTATGTTGTGAGTGCTCAGTGTATATTTAGTTGATGTTTTTCTTAGTTCATATCTTAGATGTTATTACTGTTTTTCTTTTACATTTTATTGTTGGATGTAACTGGGACCCTGTGTACATAATCTCGCTCCACCACATGTACCACATGAGGTGCGAATGACAATAAAGAAACTCTGACTCTCTAAAGTGACATTACTGTGATTTGTCTGATTAGGGATTCATGAGTCTAACAGCTTCAGAACTGTTCCTCATTTAAATGTTTACCTCAATTAAACGTAAACATTTAAAAAAGTATCATAGTCATTGCACCCATCTTCTGAATGAACCAAATGTTTAAATAGAATATACGAATGGGTAAAACGGTGCAAAGTGTACAAAAGTAAAGGATGTGACCGTTGAAAGATCAGTCCCACTGTGAGGGTGATTCACTACTTATGTATTAGCACCATTTATAGCAAACAACAACAGGAAAACAATAATTTACTACAATGTCTTAATGCTACTGTACCTTGGACTTCAAATCTCTGTGCAGAACTCTCTTATCGTGGATATGCTGCGCACCTGCACACATCTGAGCAAACCACTTCAAGATCTGACCAAAATAAAAAATAAAAACTTGTTTAAAAACACATATGGAACAAACTGTGGACAGAAAACAGTGAAATTAGCTGCAGGTATTCACGACCTACATTCTCAACACTGAAGTGGGTGTTTTTCTGTCTCTGGATCCTCTGAAGCAGATCTCCTCCGCTGCAGAACTCCATAACAATGCACAGGAGGCCATCGGCTGAACAAACACAATCACATTTCCTATTCAACAGCTCGAACAATCACAACTGTATCTCCCAACGTATCCTGTAACAGGTTTTAAAGTGTATTGCGAGGGAGATTACCTTCAAATGCCTCCCCGAAGGCCACGATATTAGGATGTTTCATTTTGCACAGCAGGATGGCTTCTCTTCTTGACCCCTCTAATTTGGACTGGTTCTGTAAAATAAACTCAGATTAGAGCATACATATGTTTACAGTTCAACAAAACAAACTGCCTCAGTGTGTGGGCAGTAATTAGTCAGATTAACAGATTACATCAAATTATAACAGGATCTTTGTATGCACTATTAATAAGGATTTTTTTTTCCATTTATATTTTCACAAGGAGACAGTAAACCTCATTATGCAGGCTGAGTAACTATTTTTGTTTTAACGTACCTTTGGCAGCTGAATTTCCTTGAGCACATATTTCTTCTGAGTGCTTTTACATTGTACTAACAAAGCTCGACCGAAAGAGCCTTCCCCGATGACTCTCAGGTGAGCGTACCTCTCCATTCAGCTTCAAAAGAAACAAAGAGACAACAAAAAGGGTACACAGTTACACTCATTGGCTACTTTTAAACTAAAACTGTCTGCTTTTAGCATTTTCATTTTGTTTACTTTTCTCAAACAGATGACATGTTCATCAAATAATCAATAAACACGCGTGCTGCTCGTTGGGTCGCTGTACTTCCTTATTGTTGAATGACGTCAGTGACGCGGCTGCTGCATGGCGCAGCTCGGCCGCCAGATGGCGCCAGAACACAACTTCTAGTTCCAGCTTCATGGACTCCAGTTCTCCCTTGTTTGAAAGTACTAAAATAACTTACTTTGCACACGTCATGGTTAATGATATGGTGTTGTCGAAGTTATAGCAATTTCAACTGTATTTGTGCAAGTAGACTGATTTTATAAATACTCTTTGAAAATAGTCAAAGTGAGTACAAATACATTTTACTAAATGTTCCATTTGTGATGGCAGCCACAGTCAGGCAACCTTACCAAACAAAAATGGCTAAAAAAAAAAACAGCAAATTTTGCAGATGTTTGCTGAGCAAGGATTTTGTGTGGTGGTAGCTGAGCGTTATCCCCAACTCATAATCTGAGCTCTACATGATCATACAACATCAAATTTGCTATTGCCTATTACATTCAACTCTGCCTGTCTGTTAGCAAAATATCCAGCTATTGGCTGCAAATGTACTACTTATTAACTTTTGGATTCAATCAAATTCAAGATGTCTGACACAACTAATTGAATTTAGTGACCACAAAAATATCTACAGCTCAGTATCTGTAAAATTACGTTAAAACTTGTTGTGGTATCAGCGAAGAGTCATCCTCAACACACGCTTTAAGCGCTAGCAGATCACATCTCCTCTGACCTGAACGGCAGAGTGCAATATGCATTCCTTCACGTAAGGCTGGGCCTTTAAATCTACACATATTATTACTTTTTAATATGACGTCTTCAGCCATGTCTTCCTTTCCACCTATAATCAGTAGCCTACAGAGGACTGTATTCTGACTATTAAAAAAAAAAAAAAAAACTTCAGATCTCCCAAACTGCACTAACTTTTTGTAAAGTAATACCACTGGGTTTGAACAAGCATATTGCCTGTGGACCTCGTGTTGCCAGGTAAATCAATAAGCGTCTGAGCGTTCCTTGCTCACTGTTAGCAATGCAATTAGTTACTGACCTCAAAAAGAGGAACTCAACTACCAAACACATAAGAAGTGGGCAGACTGGCTGCAGGATCAAGGGAATGCAGCTGTGACAGAAATGTAACGAGGATTGACTGAAAATGTTTCCCTTAACACTTTTTCAATAACCTAAAAATCTCTGTGAATCCACGATCAGGTCCCGTCCGGTGGCATCGATGTAGCGGCCTTTAATTGGTCGCAGATGGGAATTCTTGATGTGAGCTCACAAAGCTGGACACTTCTGAGCCAGTGTGACTGGTTGCAAAACTAGGGAGATAGAAATATAAAAAGTGTTGCTGCTGACACTAGAGGGCCACGAGGAAACTCTAAACTCCATCCAAACAGCTCAGTTTGCAAGATTTACCCCAGAATAAACTGCTCAAGTATTCAGCTGCTGAAGGGTTGCGTAATGATGTGAATCATTTTTATATTCATGTACGTTTGGAGAAAAGGGATTTTTTTTATTAGAGCTACAAAAAAAATATATAATTTTTACAATGATTCATTAACTAATGCATCTAATGTAAAGCAAGTTATAAAATGATAAATACATAACAAATTACATTATTTTAGACACTGAGCCTGCTGTTTAACTCATCCTGAATATTATTACAGCCTCCGTTTTCCATGATAACATGAAAGAGCATGTTCAGTGGGATTCAAAAATATTAATCCCTCTTGGTAATCTTTCTATTTTGTTGCCTTGCAATATGAACTTTGACTGGATTTTAAATTTGTTTACAAGTAATAACTCTACTAAAAACATAAATACTTCAGATTAAAGAAATTAAATCTGTCTGGGCCGTTTCAGGACATTGAACTAGTTGAGCGGTGCGTTCAGGGTCGTTGTCCTGCTGGAAGGTGGACCTCCATCCCAGTCTAAAATCACTGGATTCCAACAGACTCTAATAATTTATCTGTATTTTTGCTCCATTTATCTTTCCTTTAACAATTTCCCAGTCCCTGCTGATGAAAACCATTCCCACGTTATGATGCTGCCACCACCATGCTTCACTGTAGGGATGGCGTTCTCAGTATGATGAGAAGAGGTAGGTTTGCCTCAGACGTGGTGTTGTCCTCAACGTTTGGATCCACGTGTTTAGGGAACAAATTACAAAGAGTTTAGCTTTTTTCTTTAAACAATAACTTTCTTGTGACACTCTTCCATGCAGCCCAGCTCTGTGCAGGTTCTGATGGTTCTACAGACAGATCCTTCCTCTGCAGGAAAGCTCTGAGTCAGCTGTCATTGCACCGAAGCACAACAAAGTTACATTTCAGTACAGCCCGTCTGAGTAAAACATAAACAGACATGGTGGGACAGAGGTGTCTGAGGCCGCGGCCTCATGGGAGGCGCTGCCGTTTTCATTTAAATAAGGAAAAGAGAAACACGAGGGAAGGGGAGGTATCATATCATATCTTACTAGATATGTGTCTTAAACGGTGTGAAAGTTAAAAAAAAAACCTAAATCTTAGCACAGAAACAGCAACATACAATCTCCAAGCTCCATCAGGGTTATCTTTGGCCTCCTGGATGTTTCTCTGTTCAATACCCTCCTTACCCAGTCTGTGAGTTTTGATAGACAACCCTCTGTTGGCAGGTTGGGCATTATGGTAAATGGACTGTACTTATATATATATATATATATCACCTTTC